AAATAAAGTAAAATAATAACTGAACCTTCCATGGTTCCATAACCTGAGAGTGGCCACTGAGAAGGCTCTCTCTTGTGTCCTCACCAAACATGCCTGTGAGGGTGGTGGGGACAAGTGAAAACCCTCTCCTGAAGATCCTAAAACTTGAGCAGGTTCATATTGGGAGATACAGGCTCTCATATAGTTGAGGCCCAAGTGGTATAAGGCTTTAAGGGACATAATCAGCATTGGTTACTGAAATGAATAGTTTTGAGATGCAAGTCAATAAACTCCACTCACTCATTAAATCAATTTTTGCCCTGAGATATGTGGCCGCTGATATAATACATGGTCTATATGAGCATGTTTGAGTTTTAGGGCATTAAAACACATGTGCCTTTGGCATAGTGGTTTGAATGTTGTTCTATGACTCTGGAAACTGGGGTTTGATCCCCAGCTCAGCCATGAAACCTACTGAATGACCTTCGGCAACTCACGTGCTCTCGGCCTCAGGGGAAGGCACATGTGTTTTAATGCCTTTTATTAAAGGGCATTAAACAAATCTTTGTGATTTGTCTCTTTAAACAAATCTTGTGAAGAAAACCCCATGATAGGTTCACTTTAGGGTCACCATAAGCTCAAAATGACTTGAAGGCAAACAACACACACCTACCTTTTAAGTGCCTTTTCTTCCCTCATCCAATAGGTCATATGACCAAGTTGCAACTGAACCTGAAAATTGTGTTTAGTTGTGCAACACTTCATCTATCATTTAAATCTTACTCTGTTTCACTCAGCCCATCATGAATGAAGAAGGGAAGCAGGTTGAGACATGACCCTCATATCTTCCCCATCCCCCAAAAGTATTTTATTTAAAAGGTGCAAGTGCCTAAGATTCATAGGCAACTAATAGTGGCTGATGACTTACAGCAACAAATAAGGAGAAAGCCACTACTGAAGCTACAAGGAGAAATCCACTCCTGAATAATCCCTTTGGAAGGAAACTAATACAAGGAACCGTGTGAAATAAATATAAGAAAAATGTATAGTCTTTTTTTAAAAAAGGGATGCCATTCAGGCTAACTGAAATCTGCAGGCAAAGCAAATGGGCTGGGGCTGGAAAATCAGATATCCTGTAGTAAACACCAGCATCAGAAACGGCTAATTATGATGTATCCATCTAGGGATGTAAGTATTTACTTATTTCATTCTTGCATGCAAGAAAGAATAACTTCAAAAGTTTTATCTCTGCTGGCCATGATTACAAGAGTTTTAGCAGAGTTTTAGCACATCTTTAAATGACTCCTCATATGTCAGGGACATTTTGTGAAAAACTTGGACAACCAACTCGATTTATTTCAAAGGAAGGATGCCTATGCCATGCATTCAATCTCTCCTGCTCTCACTGGAAACAAGTCACAATCACCTCTTCAAGATGAGACATACCTCATGCAATGGATCCAGACAGAGCTTGGAAGTAGCGCATCAAAAAGTAGCAATGCTACTTATTACACACTACTTTTGGGTGGGATGAGACCTTCCAGACAGTTTATTATCAGTGGGTTTTGGGATAATGAATAAACCCTTAATCTATATTTCCTAAATCTCTCTGCCTTCAACTTCTTTCTGAGTTATGGTGACCCTAAGGGAACCTTATCATGAGGTTTTTGCAACAAGATTTGTTCTGAGAGGGTTGGCTTTTGCCTTCTCCTGAAGTCACCCAGTAGGTTTCCATGGCAGAGCAGAGATTCAAACTCTGGTCTTCAAAGTCATAGTCCAATGCTCAAACCACTACACCATGCTGGCTCTCATTTCCCCAAAACTAGAGCTAATTTTTCTTCTGGACGTTATCTATAGGCAAAAGAAGAGTGCTGTATAAAATAACTCTAGAACTGGTTCTGAGGCTTACTGGTCTCATAGATATTGTAATTTTTGCTTTATGTTCTGTGTAACTTCCACTGGCTTCTCAATGCATATGTGTACATTTTTTAAAAAGAAACAGACCAAATGTTAAAAGAAAGAATAATAAAGATATTTTAAAGGAAACATCTGCAAGTATTAGTGAACCTAGGAGCATTGTGAGACAGTAGTAGTTTGAGTGTTGGACTAGGACTCTGAAAGACCAGGGTTCAAATCCCTGCTTGGCCATGGAAACCCACTGTGTAACCTTGGGCAAGTCACATTCTCTAAGGAAAGCAAGGGGAAGCCTCCTCTGAACAAATATTGCAAGAAAACCCCATGATAGAGTTGTGTCAAGATTGCCATAAGGTGGAAACAACTTGAAGGCACATAATAACAACAGCAGCAGCAGCAGCAACAAAAACATTATACCTCCTTTCATATTTGAATAAACAAAGAGAAATTGGACTGCCTCTTTCCAGAGACAGTGATTCAACTTGGGAACTCAGTCTTAGACATATTCCCGGATTACTGCAACACATCTTTCTCTCAAGCAGCTCTCTGTTTTCATTGCCTTCTGCCAGAGTTCCCTCCAGTGAAGACAAAATGACCTTTCATTTGGGTACAACAATGATCTCCAGGTGCTGTTGCCTCCTCAGTAGAGTTATGTGAATCTATTTCCTTAGATATCCAGCAATGTAGGGGGATACTTGTCAATTCCTTCTCTACTTTTAATAAAATGATTAGGTTGGAGCTTTTTACAGGCCACTGACCCTTATTTTTGTTTGCTGGAAAAGGTTTTGCTGTTTAATCACAATGTCCTCTCAGCTCTGGTTTCCTACTATGAATTTGGTGTAGTGGAATACTTGGGGTTAAAAAAAGCAAAACGATTCCAGCAGGAATAAAAGAACCTCTTTAAAAGTCTCTTGCTGAAAACACACACACACATGAAAAAAAATATCTTGATTCCCTTCCAAAGTGGACTGCTATGCTTCTTGAATCCTTGGCTCTCATTCCAGTGTGATACTAAGGCTATGACTAATAACCCCCTGCTTGTGCCTGCTGATAATTTCACCGTTGAGTAGCTGTTCTGGTTCTGGTTCATCATAGTACATCCTGAAGATGCCAAGATTGTTTTTTTTTTTTTTATTAAAAAAAGACTGAAAGAATGATATGAAATGCTTGCAGTTTGAGAGTGTTATAAATACATTTTTTTCATCTGATGCATTTAACAGCTATGTTGTTACAAGGCCGTCATTCTCCCTTTTCTGAAAGTTATTTTATTAGATGCTGGCTAAGACAATGGCTCCCCCTAACTCCCCCCTCTGTGTCTTGCACATACATTTTTAATTTAAACCAGATTTGAGATTGTTCTCATCTTTTAAAGCAAACATGCCATATATCACGTCGGGTTAGTCCAGCACAGCATATGTTATATTTCACATCTCACTATTCTCAAGCAAATGTGTAGTTTTTAAAGTGTAAGTGAAGAATGTTTACTTTGTAGGTTTTATTTTTTTTAAACAGGCTATTTACACCTCTAGAGCCCCATTTTACAACACACAGTATGAGCAGTGTTCATGAAAATGTGACTTTGGGGTACATTCTCATCGGTGGAAATTAGCATAATGCAATTAACTTACTAAGAACTCTTTTGTTGGTCACTAAATTCTAGTTTCATTCCACAAGCTGGTTACTCATGCCTGTTCATCAGTGTGGCCACTTCAGCTTTAAGCAATGTTTTGCATGTGTGAATGAGCTACCACAAATCGAATTCTGCTGGGAGGACTGCATATCATCCATTTCAGTAGACTGAGTTCATGTCTTCAGTTACATGCCATTAAATCCTGTACAATCAGGCTATGAGAAATCACTTGATGTGCATGCATATGTAAACTTGCTTTTCCTTGTTAATTTCTTAGCCAGTTTTACAAGTTCTAAACCTCTATGCTAAACAAACCCATAGTATTCTCTTTACAAATTCTTTGCAATAGCTAAATTCACATTTATGCTCTCCACCCAGCTAATCTGATTGATGTTGTTGTGTTTAGTTAGCCATCTTACAGAAGTTTGTGTCTCAGAGGGTCTACTGGACTATCTCCCAATGTGAAAAAGCAGGCTTCTCTTTATACCAGGTTTCTTCTTTTACTGCCCTCTCTCTTCTCATTGGCACAACAGATTGCATTGCTTATTTCCATGCCAGTGTTGCCTACCCATCTGGCTTCTCACCAGTGTTTGGTGCAGATTCAGATCTGTTTCAGTGGGTGAGGAGCAAATGTGAACATGTTTGTGATCACATTCAGGGAGCACTGGATGGGAGGGTCAATAGGCAGAGGGTTGGCAGAGGGGTGGTATCCATCCCACACCACAGGAGGACCAAGCCGTCATCCCCCCCCCCCAGTGCTGCTGTGGGGCTGTTGAGCTTCCATGTGCTGTTTGGATTTCCATCACAGTCAAGTGATGTGCTGCAACATGGATTTTTTTTAAAAAAATGAGAGTTTATGCGATTGGGTGCATTTGTGTATGTTTTTCTGACTCCAATCAGCTTTTGCTCCCATAGAAATAAAAGGTCCCCTGGGTCTGCATCAGCTTCTTTGGCTGCGGAGAAGGAGGAAGAGGAGGAGATGCCAGGCTGCAGCAGAGGAAAGGACGAAAGAAAGAAGGAGGCAGGGAAAGAATGGAGGAAGAGTAACTTTATATCCTCCTCCTCCTTCTGGGTGGCCTTTTGCTGCATTAGCGCCCAGGAGGATAGGTGTTGTGGATGATGGGCTCCCCTCCTCCTCCTCCTCCTCCTCCTTGCTTTTAGCCCCCTGTTTCCCAACCCATGTGGAGGTGGGGGTCCTGGGGGCGAGGGGGCTCCAGACCAAAGGGGAACTTTCCTCTTCTTTGGGAGTCGCTGCCCCTCTCTAGGAGCCCATTTCCCCACACAGAGAGAAAGTGGAGAGAGGTGAGTGTATATGATCATCTCTTTCTCCCATAGAGTCCTGCATCCTCTCAGTTTCTAGGAGCCCATTTCCCCACATGGAGAGAAAGTGGAAGAGAGAAGTGTGTGTTTATAATCAGCTATTGCCCCCATAGAAAGAGTCCTGTACCCTCTTGGCTTCCAGGAGCCCACAGAGGGAAAGCAGTGGTGGTAGAGGAGGGTGTGCATCTTATGCACACACATACACACATAATAAACTCATACAAATACGCCCATGGAAATGGCGACAACTGATTTGCGTGGCCACACCTCCGAATGCTTGCGTAACCACAAACACACCCATGTGCATCATATGATTGACATTAAAAAAAGCGGGATGGATCGATCTCGAGAATCTATTTTGAAGTGGAACAAATGTCAGTGTGAATGAGATGTGTGTTTAAAATTGACACGAATGCATTCGGCAAGGAAAACATAGTGTGAACTACGTATCCATTTGAATTGATTCTGCGCTTCTGTATTGAAGCGACTCAGGAGCCAGATTAAATGCAAGTCTGAATGAGCCCTAGGTCTTTCTTTCAGTTATCTAGCCTGCCAGAATAGAGGACTCTTTGCCTTCTGATGAAAAGACTGCAAGGAGGGAGCCTCCAGCTCCCTATGAGGAAAGTTTCAGAGCCCCTACCCATTTTTAAAAACATATTGGGGGTAACTACTGAAAATACAGTCTTGTCAGCTTTCATTACAGAAACAAAAGTGGGGCAGTCTTATCTGCTCTTACATTTCCCCCCGTCTTTCCACATACTCACTAAGGGATTCTGGAGGCAGCTGCTGTTTGCCTCACATTGTAGGCAGGCACAAATGGCTATTAGGATTGGTTAGAGTAGAATTCTACTCTTTCTCAAGCTTTGTTTAATGCATGGTTTGCTGAAGGCACACTGCTGCAACCCAACACCAAAAACCTGTCTTTCTCTAGTCCTCCCTCAGCTTCCTCCCAATGCCAGTGCTACTGACACACACACACACACACAACACACACACACCAACAACAAACACGAGATCCTAAAATGGCTTGCAACTCAATTCCCCAAGGGATGGAACCCGAAATAAGTATACTTTTTGTTTGAAAAATGTAACCTTTTGTTTCTGTAATGAAAGCTGACAAGACTGCATTTTCAGTAGTACACCACATGTTTCCAAAACATGTCAGAACCAGAATCCTGTATTTTCCAATCCTTCCAGCAGAGATGCCAAATTTTCTCCACTGTTTTGGATGGCAAAATACTATATAGGTGGATGATAAAAGACAATCATAGACACCATTATGAAGGCCATTTTCAGGCTTTAAAACTAACCTTCCTAATGTCATTTAATGAAGAGTTTTACACAAGTTTTGATCAAAATTAAGTTCCTCTGTATCCAGAGGAGTTTTGTACTGATATCAGTAGGAGGATAATTGGCAAATCTGGACTTTTGTTTCCATAATGGTAGGTAACAAAACTAAAATATTGTCAGTAGAGGGTAAAAATCATAGCATGTTGGCATTGTGTAGCCAGAGAAGAATTTTGCAAGGAGATGGGCACCATTGTTAGGTACAAACCTTGCAGTTTGTGGATGAAATATACAGGAGAAAGGAAAGGATTATTTATAAGGACAAAAGACAGCTTTGAATGTAGTGCCTGAATTAAAAATAAAATAAAACAGAGTGCTTTTTAAGGTTCTGTGGTGGTTTATGGAACTGGCTTGTTTCAGTAAGATGGTGACTATTCCTGCTGAATCCTATATGGAGCTAGTGTTAGCTGACTGATTAAACTAAGGCTACAGAACCCATTTCAGCAAGAAATCATTAGATTTTGTTCCCAACAAACTTTGTCTATCTTTGCTGCTGCCACCAAGTAGTTGCTGACAACCTGAACTACATGTGGTAAGATATTCCTTTCTTGATGAAACTTGTTATCTAATACCCAACCTAATGCCAGTGGAGAGA